GCAGTTTCGCGAATAAAACCAGCATGTAAATGTTGTTCCATGAACCAGTAATACGACACACCCCTTCGAATTGGGACAGAAGAGCGTATTTATTAGAAATGAATAGATGTATTTGTTGCCATTTCAATATCGTGCGTTGTGTTATAGTTCTGTGCATGAGACCAGCATGTAAATGTTGTTCTGTGAACCAGTAACAAGACACACCCTTTAAAGTTGATAAGTCAGACTTTGTGCATTTTTAATTTATTTATTCACATTTCTGAATATCAAACTCAGTCGAAGCAACTGCAGTGTGTTCTTCTATGGGGCGGTGTACCGCACACTCTTTGGGAAGCTTCCAGAGCTCTTTCTCAGTTTTTACAATTCAATAGCTTTTGTTGTGTTACACTTTTGTGAAGAAAACCAACATCTAAATGTCATTATAGGAAACAATTACAAAACACACCCCATAAAGCTGAAATAAAAGAGTATTTGTATTTTTTATTAATCGACGTATGTGTTTACATTTCAATAGCATGTGGTGTGTTATAGTTCTGCAAATTCAACCGATGTCTAACTGTTATTCTATGAACCAGTAACAAGACACAGCCTTTGAAGATGAGATAAAATGCTGTATGTTTACAAAAATGATAAGTTAATAGGTTTGAATTTGATTCAATAGCGTGTGTCAAATTTGTCTTATGAATGTAAAAGATACATAGAAATGTGGTTGTATGAACCAGCAACAAGACACACCCTTTGAGGTTGAAATGTCAGACTCTGTGTATTTTAAATTAATTTATTCACATTTCTGAATTTTAAAGGGGTCATATGATGCTTTTTTTAAAGATCATTATTTTGTGTATTTGGTGTAACAGAATATGTTGACATGCTTTAATGTTCAAAAAACACATTCTTTTTCAAATGCTGTACATTATTGTAGGTCCTCTATGCCCCGCCTCTCTCAAACGCTTCGTTTTCTACAAAGTCCCTCCTTCCGACAAGCGCAGTCTGCTCTGATTGGCCAGCTGACCTAGTGCATTGTGATTGGCCGAACAACACAAGGACTCGTCAGAAATGTAACGCCCCTTACCATAATCACGAGCTTCATCTTTCAAAATAAATGTAAAGACAGAGCCCGAAAGGGGAACAGAGTCGCGTGACAGACACAGTGATGAAGCTGGTATGTGTTTGCAGTACCCAATCCACGGTTAAGACATCTGACTCCACTGTGATGTGACCCCCTCTCTCTCTCTCTCTCTCGCGCGCTCTCTCTCTCTCTCTCACTCGCTCGTGCACACACACACATGATGCACAAAACTCCGCATTTGAACAGTCAATAGCAAATACTTAAACTAATAACAAAACAGTAGCTGATTCAGAAGCGCCAGATTGTCATAGCAAAGTTAGAATTACCTCCTCTCCTAGGTTCACGAAACGGTCGTCCATAAAATGCATTGCTGTTCTGTTGTAAGTAATGTTTGAGAGGTTGGAAGGGGCGAGGAGCGGGAGCCAACTTTCTGTTGACCGTATTGCATTGGTCTAATGTTTCATGTGCTTTAATAAAAGTAAAAGGCAAGTTAAGATCGTCATTCTTCCTTTGATGAGCGAACCAAATGCTAACGAGTCACGAGCCCACTACCTAGCCTCTATGTGGCGATTGGATGCCGCTAATAAAGAATATCTCTTTGGTTTTGAAACTTTAGTCTTTGCAATTTCAGGGATCTTATCTATGCACAATCAGCTTGTAACACTCCAAAGAGAAAGGAAAACTTGAAATCGCATCATATGACCCCTTTAAACTCAGTGAAAGAAACTGCAATGTGTTCCTCTAGGGGGCGGTGTACTCTACATCTTAGTAAGCTTTTTCTCAATTTTTACATTTCAATAAGTTTTTTCGTCATGTGAATAATATCAACATTGAAAATATTCTTTTAGTAACAAGTATCAAGACACACCCTTAGAAATTGAGATAGCAGAGTACATTTATAGGAAATTAATTGATGTATTTGTTCACATTTTAATATCATGTGTTGTCTTATAGTTCTGTGAATAAAACCAACATCTACATGTTTGTTTAGGAACCACTAACAAGACACACCCTTTGAAGTTAAGATAGAAGGGCATATTTACTTTACATTGATTGATGTATTCGTCGACATTTCAATATCATGTGCTGTGTTATAGTTTTGTGAATAAAACCAACATTTAAATGTTCGACTATGAACCAGTAACAAGACACACCCTTTGAAATTGAGATGGAATACTGTATGTTTTAAAAATGAATGTGTTAACAGATTCAAATTTAATTCAATAGCGTGCATCCTGATTTACATATGATAGTAAAAGATGGCTGTAAATATTGTTCTTTGAACAAGTAACAAGACACACCTCTTGAAGTTTAGATATCAAACTGTGTGCATTCTAAATTAAGTTATTTAAACTTCTGAACATCAAACTTGGTCAAAACAAGTGCAATATCTTTCTCTAGGGGGCGGTAAACTGCACAATCTTTGTAATGCTTTGCAAGCTTTTTCTCAATCGTTCCATTTCAATAACTTTTGTTGTGCTATAGTTCTGTGAATAAAATCAACATCCAAATGTTCTTGAATGAACCAGTAATAAGACACACCCCTTATATTTGAGATATATTTTTTATACATTTCACAAGTGAAGCATTTAGATGGAATAATTGTGCTTTTTGCTCTTCGTTTTGCACTTTGCAGACGGTCCCTATCCTGCACATTTACATTATAAGGTCTATCAGTTACAATACCTTAAAGCAGATTAAAACAAATAAAACACATTGTGTGTTCTCTTCTACATTTGAAAACAATTATAAGACATTATGTTTCTTGTCATTGTGCTAAATCGTCAAAGAACTATTGAAGATTTCTGAGGTTGAATCTCTGACAAATGTCAAACGTCAAACGTCAAACCAACTTTATATCGGTCCTCGAATTTAGGTTGAAAGGCAAATTGGTTGTTTGTCTGTCTCTAATTATTACTATTATTCTTCTGACATTTGATTATTCTAGTTAACTCTTTACTTTATATTTACTCGTTCATTAGGAATCTATGTCGCTCAGGGTGTATCTCACCGGCTGATGTATTTGTACCCCATAATCACAGACTCTCCAGTCTGATCATGAGTCAAAGGTTATGACTAACTATTTAATAGACCGCCTCATGCTTGTCATTCTTTAAATGGTGGTTCTGTTTAGCCCCCTACAGTCACCTATATAACAACTTAGTTACATTACATTACATTACATTTAGACATTTAGCAGACATTTTTATCCAAAGTGACTTACAAATAAGGACAATGGAAGCAATCAATTCAACAAAAGAGCAATGATATGCAAGTACTATAACAAGTCTCAGTTAGCTTAATGCAGTACACGTAGTTAAAGCTCAAACAAAATCAGAGGTTATGGATAGCACTATGAAATATGCTAATACTTCCATAGTGTTTTATCTAGCCCCCTATAGTTAGTTTAACTATATAACAACATGAATAAAGCTTAGACAATAATCAGAGGTTACAGCTAGCACTATGAAATATGCTAATACTTCAATAGTGTTTTTACCTAGCCCCCTATAGTTATTCTAACCACATAACAACTTGAATAAAGCTGAGACAATAACCAGAGGTTATGGCTAGTACTATGAAATATGCCCGAACAATGCTAGTACTCCAATAGTATTTTGTCTAGCCCCCCATAGTTAATGCAACTGCATAACCACTTAACTAAAGTCAAGCAGTTAGTCAGAAATCTATAATCTCACCTGATGTGCCCCATACTCCATCTAACCTGAGATTTAGTATGTACTAACCCTGGACGCAGATTTGCAGTAACATATGCCTTCACTTAATCTACTTGAGAAAATAATTTCAGAATAAATCAGAATTAAATCAAATGTAACAATTTATTATCAGTCAGGTAAATATATATTATGCCAATTACATAGCCAATTGAAAGATATCAAATAAATACAAAACATCAAATTCTCAAAGATGAATCTAAGAGTAAGATGCATACCTGACTTTTAGAAAAATACATAGTATGAAGTGTGTGGACACACTTCATACTATGGGCTCATTCTGGCTGCAGAATCACCACGACCCTTTTGCTGCAATCCTTTAAATACCAAACCATATAATACATCCTCCAAATGGAGGCATCTACAAACAATTGGAATTTGCATTAACCCATTGTCCCAGACCTGGGTGGTTTACACCTCAATGGGAACAGAAGGTAATTTGCATGGAATGACACACCCCCTACAGTAATCAAAATATCTCTTAACTCTTAGGATCTGTATTATCTTTTACTCTACTTTTGTAAGATTGAGACCATTGTACCACTCACCCTGAGACTCAAATTGATACTAAAGATTCAAATGATACCAAACATGACTGTAGATATTATTTGCATTCATGTATGTTTGTATTGTCTGTTTATCAGGAGATCAAAGTATCTTGAGGTTCTTTCATCCTTAGATATTGACCCTCTAAATGTTATGAGGATGGGGATATTGTTAAGTGTTTTAAGTTTATTTTTCAGTTGATGAAATATCTTTCCAAGAACTTTCAACAGAAAAAAACTCCATAAATCATTAGAGTTGTGAAAATGATCCTGGATACAGTGCATGCCATTGTAAAGACTAACGCGTGTGTTTCCTGATTAAAATGCTTGCCAACAGTTGTCAATGTCAACAGTTTGTGTAGCATGCACACACACATCCTGTAAGATGGCATATGTACCACATCCTGTGTGAACAATAGGAAGTGCATTGATGCATTTTAGATCTCAAGGTACAACTGACACCCAAGATTTTTGAGACACACATATGTAACCGGGTAAAAAGAAAAAGAGAAACTAAGTGTGAATGGTGTCAAAATGCTTGCTTTGGGTATAAAATGTTTGTTCTAGTTATAAAATAATCTTATGTTTATTGTTAATGTGTATAATGCATCTTGGAAAAAGGGGAGACACCTGCGGCAGTGATGAAGCACTATGGATGCCAACTGCCATAAAACTCCAACGAAGAAGAAGAAGAAGAAGAAGAAGAAGAAGGGGAGACACCTACAGGCAAGGAGAGTGTGTAATGTGTGTTGTGGAACATCTTCTCAGTTATCTCGAGCTGTTGAGAAAGATGGTAGGTGAAAATGTCTCTGGTCAATTGGTCAAAACAATGTTGGGACATTTGTTTTATTTTTGTATAAAATTAATTGTATTTGTCTAGAAATGTGTTTAAGATCATTTTATTCTGTATTATAGTGTTAAAAAGGGTGGTGTGTAGCAGAGTTTTATGTGCCTTACAGGGGGTTGCGTACACCATGTGCTAATGGCGTCTGCTCTGTTTTTTCTTTCATTTTGTATATTCGTTTGATTTGTCTATATGTGTACTATTTTTTTTTTGACAGTTTTGTGACCGGGTGAGCAGTATTGTATTGTCTGTTTAGTGCTTCCCATGTCTTTTCCAGGTATGATGTATAATTTTTTTTGTGTGTTTTCTGTGTATAAAAGAAAAAAGAGATTGAATCATACACATATGTAACAAAAAGTATTTATTGATTAAGTATTCAGTTCTCTCGAGCTGCTGAGAAGGTTGTTTTGTGATCGGGTGAGCAGTATTTATTGTTTGTTTGGTGCTTTCCATGTCTCTTCCAGATTTTCCCCAGCTCACAGTAAACGCTGTAGCGTCTCGACCAATCTGACACACTAACTTTTATTTGATTTAACAAATCAATTATTCATTAGATTGTAGCGTCTGGAACACTAACGTGAGTGTGCTCAACAAAACTGCTTACGCATGGTCACGAACCAAGAGGGGTTACACATACACAGATGAATGATAGGGTAAGCTTATATTTAATTTTATATTCTGGTCCACGGAATTCCCAGTTTATATACTGGCATTGAGTGGTGTATTTACAATGCCAGGTCGTCATTGACTTACCTGGTTAAATAAAGGTTAATAATAGTGATAGAAAATAAGAAGTAGCTTGTGATCTAGATGGAGAATCCACCCAGAGGGGTAACGCAGCACACATGACTTCTGCTGATAATGTTCCAGAGCTGAGAATTTTGGTGAAGTAACCCCAAAAATGTGAACATATACAGATAACATGCAAACAAGCTTCACTTAAAGGAATTGTTCATTCAAAAATGAATGAATTGGTGAAAAATTTGTTCACTCTAAGGCACTCTAAGAGTTTGTTTCTGTCAGAATGATAGTCCAAACAGCTGATAAAAACATTACAATAATCCACTTGCCAATAATCCACAAGCTGCATGACTGCAATAAACAAATCTATCATTAAGTTTTTAACTTCAAGCAGTTGCTTCAGACTAAAATACAAGTCCTCTATCTGTAGTGTCGCTTTCTCCAATGGTTCTCCAACGGTTTGAAGTTAAAATGCCATAATGTTGAATTTGTTCCCTATCTGTCGGACACTACGAGTTATGTCGTGAAGACATATGGGGATTCACTTGGGAGCCCCAATCATCTCTGACTTTAAGAGAAAACGCCTATGGAATTTGGCTAGTGGATCTTGCATACCTGAGCCACTCCCCGCGCATACGGGTATAAATAGGCGACAGGTGCCTCCACTCTTCAGATTTTTTGCTTCGGAGCCAAGTGGATGAATGTGTTGATCTCCACAAAGCCTTTCATCTTCTGTCTGAAAGCTGTTCTGGTTGGGAACTTCAAATGAAAGAGCAGATTTCCTAAAATACCACATCATGGAAGGCTTGCGTCTTTTTAAAGATGCCGTTCCATCCGTGTCCTCTTGGTTGTGGTCATTACCTGTCTTCTGAGGACGGACAGTCATGATCGTTGTCTTCTGTGTCTAGGCATCCAACATGCTGAAGCTGTGTTCGTGGATGACTCATGTGCCTGTTGTGGGCGTATGAGCATAGCCTTGCTACTGTAAGGGGGGTTTCCCTACAGTGGTTCAGGCTGATTGCCGAATGACTAAAGAAACACTGTCAGCACGATGGTATAAAACGGTAAATTTCTAGTGTACAGTTCTAGTGTACCACCCACTGCCACTTATACCAACGACGGAAATAAGCGTAGTTAGAATAGCTAAATATGTGGGAGAGCGTTGATATTAAGTGACTTTATTGTATTATAATAGGTAGCACTTCAAAGTTAATGTTGAATCAAGACTAGTTAGCTCATAGTTTATAATTTAAATGGTTTAATAACAGTATTTTGTTATACACTTGAATTAAGTTACAAAATAGTAGGGGTGACCCCAAATAGATGCTTCGACAGGAGGATCCTGATTCGACTACCAATTTCACAGTCGAATATTCGAGGGGTGTTATGATCATGCCATTTTGGCTATATGGGGGTGCTCAAATGTCTGATTTCACATAGAACTACTGGTTTTCTCTTCACCTGTGTTGTTATGGTGGTTACCATCAGTATATGTATAAGGTACAAAACAAATTTTAGTAGCAGCTTGAAGCAGAAAAGGGCTGTTGGATTTACCTTTTCTTTGTTTAGTTTTGTAAATTACAAATTTAAACTGTAAAATGTACAGGTTGTTCTGTAAATGTGTTTACAGTTTTTTTTTTCTTTAGTGCAGGTCTCCCAAGTGGTAAGTTGAAAAAAGAATCCCTGCAGGATAACTGGATAAAATTGTATAAATATGAAATATAAATGATGTTCCATTTCTTATATAAAAAGGAGCATGTTAACAGTGGGATACATAAAGCTGGTTTAAAAATATATAGATTATGTGCTTAATCTGATTTTGAATTACATTTTTTCACCTCCAGGGCTTTTCATCCATTCCACAATGGCCAGCAAAGGTATAAAATTTCTCAAATAAAAAATAGATAATTTTGTGTTTGCTTAAGAGTCAGTGACTAAGAAAATATAATGAATGGAATGAATTCTCTGACAGGCACTAAAAGAAAGCGTTACCATAAATCGTCTGACTCAAATACAGAGCCTCCACTGACAACAGGCAAGTAAAATTCTCTCTACCTTTAATCAGCCACTATTAGAGTAAATAATCACTTGGTAGCTTAAAGGTGGGGTAAGCGATTTCTGGTAGTCGATGTTGACATTTGAAATCACCAAAACAAACACGCCCCTACCCCAAAAGTGTCTCGCCCCTATTTTGATAGATCCACCCCACACATACGTAGTCAACCCAGGCAACAGATTAGTTCTGTGAAACAAAGCAAAACTGCTGCTGTGTTCCATTCATGACGTATTGACACAAATTTCAAATGATTTTCAATGGTCGCTTTGTCGCGTCCAGTGTACTAGACAGACTTTAGCTGTTGCGGCGCAGACACAGTGTTACTCACCTATCGAGAAGAAACAAAACAACCTTGGCGTCCGATCGCAGGCCTTCTGCTCCTTGAATTCTCTCCAGCACTGGAAAGCTGATCCAATATTTACACTGGTCCTACTTCTTGCCTTAAGCCTTCTTTTGTTTCCGCAGACGTTTTCCTCTTTTGTTTTTTATCTGCCATCTCTATCTTTCTGTCGCTCGGCTCGGCTAATGTCCGTCCCGTGTACTGAACGCGCTCTCCTCCACATCCTGAGTAGTTACGCCCCTTACTGCTGATTGGCTTCAAGTTTGCTTTGCTATTCGTCCCGAATCGGTTTTCTAAAGTGTTTTTGAAAAATCGCTTACCCCACCTTTAAGTAAAGTCAAGTCACTGTTATTTATATATCGCTTTATTTATATATACAGTATATATATATATATGTATATGTGTATATATATACGAAGGTAAAAGAGTAGCATAACTCGAGAGCTTGTTGATTTGAATTTGAGAATGTATTAATATCATATTTATATTCGTATTTGTAAGTTGAAATTTACACCAACAGCTCTGATGTGAAAAGCTGAATATTTTGATTTTCACACAGACAATAATCAAAACACCCGTGTTTTGAATTTGAAGTTGCAGATTACTAGTTACAAATGTGTAAAATGATATTCACACAAACAAAATGACAGACAAAAATGTATACGACATATTTATGTTCGCACTTTACTTCCGTTTCGTTGTACAACCACAAGTAAGCACTTACATCACTGCTTTGGCACAATTATGTTGTAAACTGACTTGACATTGTCACTGCACACAGCACTTTCTGTTTTGTTGCTGCTATGCACACTCTAAAAAATGCTGGGTTAAATTTTTTTTTTTACCCAAATGCTGGGTTCAGCCTGCTGGGTCATTTTATTGGGTTGTTATTATTCCCCCCCCCCCCCAGGTGCTGGGTAGTTTTTCTGCCAGGTGCTGGGTAGTTTCTGTAACTAAGCTGCTGGGTCATTTTTAATGGGTTATTAAATATTGGGTTATTTTTTTTACCTAACCGCTGGGTTGAGCCTGTTTCTGATGAAACAACCCAGCTGCTGAGTTACAGTCAGGTCGCGGGCTTTTTGTGTCCTCTATGGGAGAGAGCAGTTCTCAGTGCCGCCATGCATTTCTTCAGTGAAATAAAGGTTTGTATACATTTTATTTCATTTAAAAAGTCTTTACTGTGCTGTAAATTATATTATTTTATGCAACGCAACATACAGGGACGAAATGTCAGTCAGCTAAATAGAGAAGGTTAAATGTGTCAGCAGCGGTCATTTCGCATGATGGAAACACCATTTTCCTTGCTTAACAAATTGATTTTATTCGTTATAATAGAGAATATAATTAAATTTGGTGTTAAAATATGTTCTCTAATCTCAGTACTGTTTGTTTATTGGCAGGTTATGTAGTCAGTCATGGCATCTTTCAGCTACGAGTGAAGTGCGTGGTCTGACGTTCGCGGTTTCCCTGGTGAACAGCAGCCCATCACTGGCTCAGATATTGCGGACACACCGGAATGAGAATTAGCACTATTTTGGGGAAAATGATTACAGAAAATGGTTGAATACACTTAAATTAAAATGCAACTTTTAAAAGTTGAATTTTTTTATTTCTAAAAGGCTTGTTATCGAGTTTAAATGTATGTTGTAATATACTGTATTCACCCAAATTAATTAAATTTGTTATATTTTTGTCCATGGGTGTTTTTGCTTAATAATAAACGTTCATCTTTTGATTATTGCTGTTGCCTCTATAATTCTCTAATTTTTTTTTATTTCCAGCTCATTTGAATAAATATGAGGCAAAGGCCAA